CAGCCCCAGCTGTTGTGGGTCAGCATCCACACACCAGAGAGAACATTCAGCCTTTGGTTTTTGGGGGCCTGGCTTATTTCACTTAGCACAATAGTCTCCAGTTCCATCCATTTACTGGCAAATGCCATAATTTCATTCTTCTTTATGGCTGAGTGCTATTCCATTGTGTCTATATATCCCATTTTCTTTATCCATTCATCTGTTGAAGGGCACTTATGTTGGTTCCAATAGTCTATTGGGAATTGAGCTGCTGTGAACATTGATGTGGCTGTGTCACTGTAATATGCTGATTTTTAAGTCCTTTGGGTATAAACTGAGGAGTGAGATAGCTGGGTCAAATGGTGGATCCATCCCAAGTTTTCTGAGGAATCTCCAGACTGCTTTCCAGAGTGGTTGCACCAATTTGCAGTCCCACCAGCAGTGTAAAACTGAACCTTTCCCCCCATATCCTTGCCAACAATTAAGCATGAGTATTCTCATACTGACGGAGGCAAAGTCTTAGGAGAGGGCGTTGCTGGTTCAAAAGGTGAGCACATGCATGGTTTCACCATACTGGCCAAATTTCCCTCCAAAAGATGGAACCCACCTGTGTGCTCACCGGCAAATAGGAGCATGCCTGTGTCCCCAAACCTCAGCAACGCGGAGCGTGTTTCCAGGTGTTCATTTCCGCCATCCTGATAGGTGAGGAATGCTATTTAAATATGCTTTTCTCTGGTGCTGAACAGCCTCTTGTTTGTTTAAGGGCTGGCTGCTTTAAGCATCTGTGTGTGTGTGTGTGTGTGTGTGTGTATGTTTGTTCACAGGTAATGAAGCCATTATTCAATAAGATTTTTAAAATCTTTTATTATCTCAGTTTTTAAGACATTTTAGTTGTAGGTGGACACAATACCTTTGTTTTTTATTTATTTTTACGTGGTGCTGAAGATCAAATCCAGTGCCTCACACGTGCTAGGCGAGCGCTCCACCACTGAGCCCCAACTGCAGCCCTACTGCCTCAGTTCTTGAGTGTTTGATTCGTCGGGACATTATTTCTTTGACTGTGATACAGGTGCAAGTATTTTCTCCCGTATCATTAGTTCTTTTTTTTTTCCTTTGGATAACAGGGGTTTTTGTTTACTGTTTGTGTTGCAGTGGTGTCAGTTGGTGCATAGTTTATTTTGTTGTATTTGGGTTTGGAGTCAGTTATAAAGCCTTCCACCCGCAGAGAGGCTCGCCCGTGTTTCCTTTTGGTACTTGGTTGGGTTCATTTTTTTACATTTAGATTCCTGCTCTATTTGGATTCTGTCCTACAAAGTGTGACATGTGGATTCAAACCTCTTTCTGGAAGCCAATCAGTTATCGCAGCACCTTTAGTAACAAGTTCCTTGGTCCCAAGGCTTGGGCAGGCACCTGTCTCTGAGAGCCAAAGTCCCTCCCTTGCACACACTCGGGAAACAGCCCCAGGTTCCCTGAGCCTGCCACACAACCTGACTTGCTTTTCCAATGGGCTTGTGGTGGATTTCCAGCCGTTCAGGGTTCAGAGACAGGGAAGGGCTGGAAGTGGAGGCTGGTGGGGGAGGAAGGCTGAGAAGAGGACTCCAGGAGGCCCCCCCAGGAGGCCTGGTGCCAGCTCCCCTGGGGCCTCCCAAAGGCCCACCCACCTCATTCTGGGGCTCCCGACTCTGCAGTCTGTGGCATGCTGGGCTGATTATGGAGCCTGGTGGGGCCTGCCTCCCTCCTCGCATTCTTTGAAGAGAAGGATGGCAGCTTTCACACAGAGTCCCCGGGAACCCTACCTGGGAGTGCACACCTGGCCAGGCGAGGGCATCGGCCCTGGGAGCCTAACTCCTCACCCGTGAGAAAGGTGTGCACGTATGTGCCTGTGTTTGTAGGCGACAGGCTAATGCAGACTTTGATTTACCGGGAGCTTGCTGTGCGGTTTCTGACCCAGCCTTCTGCCTGTAGCAGAGCATCTGTCTTCCTGGCCACCCCACAGATCGCCCTCCTGCACAGACAGGAAATCGAGGCACCTGCCCACACCCACAGCCAGGGAGCGGAGGCTGCTCTTTGGATTGCTGTCCCCTGCCACCTCTCCTCCTGGAGTCGGGGACACAGGGAATTCACACAAGGGATAACTGCCCCATACGGAGGTGCCTCTCAGACCCTGAAGCACCTCCCCCCGGTGCTCAGTGTCCATCTCTCACACACCGTTCAGCACATGGTCACCGGGGTCTGTGTGATGCCACCTCTTGGGGGGCTGTCCTCCTCCTCCTCGGTGCCCCCAGATCCTGGAGGTGGGGGTGAAGCTGGACGTGTTTCAAGTGTCTGGAGTGTGCGTTGGGGGGACCTGGACCAAGCTGGAGGTGGGAATCGACGGGCCCCGTGTTGATGGGGGAGGAGGGCAGAGCCACTGCCAGGTCTGGGCATGGTGACTTGTTGGTGGCAGTTGTGCTCACTGAGATGGAGATGACAGGCAGAGGGAAGAGCAGGGTCAGAGGCCTGGGTGCAGGGCTCTGGGTTCGGGAGGCAGTGCGTGGCTGCCAGCCCAAGCCAGTCTCTGGCTGGCTCACCAGGGAGCGCTGGCTGCTGAGAAGCAGGGGGATGGCCGGGGGGCCCCCCAAGAACACAGACCATAAGTGGGAAGGGCAAGCAGCGAGCAGGCTCAGGGCGCTGAGGACCCCAGTGCCTCTGCCGGCACCCCACCTCCATTGGGGCCCCTTGGTTCAGGACAGAGCAGCCCCGTGCAATAATAAAGTCCTGAAAGGAAGCCACGGGGTTCAGGGAGCCCACCCCTGGGGGGATGATAGGTTACTTTTTGGTGCTTAAAATAATAAAGCTTTCCCTTGACCCGAAACTTCTGCCCTCCCGGAACGACTCATTCTCCAGGAGCTCCAGATGATAGGGCTTCCTGGTGCTGCTATAGCTGGGGTCCTTCCTGCAGGAGACACATGTCTAGGGCTTCACTGTCACACCCCCAGGACCAGCTCTCCTGGTCCACTGGCTACTCCGCCTGCTGCGTGGCCGGGGCTTTGGACCCTGATCCCCTCCTGGAGGCGGAGATCCAGGGAGGACAGCGTCCAGCGCAGCTGGGGAGACAAGGTCAGAAAACGCACTTCCAGGCGTCCCTGACGCAGACGGGAGCTCAGCAAATATTTGCCAACTGGACAAAAATGTCCTCATCCCCTTGGCCTTTTTGCCAGTTTCTGCCTAGACAACACTGGGGGTGGGGCTGTAGGGGGGTTCATTATTCCAGGAGTTCAGGGCGCAGGCGGCAGGACTGAGCTCGGGGCCCTGGGGCACTGCCAGGAAACTGCCAGTTTCGCTGCAGCTCTGTGCACCCCAGAACAGCGCGGCCAGCTGCCTTAGCCCAGCCTCTGAGCAGGTCCCCCCTGAGCTGTTCAGACCCATCTGGGACCTTCCCAGGAGAGAGGAGCCCCTGCTGGGATCAGCTTTGGTTTCCTTGGACCCGGTGAGGGGAAGGAGCCTAACCCAGACCCCTTGCCTTAACACCACTGTTCAAGGCTCCCCCCTGGAGCTGGGGGAGCACCCACTTCTTCCATGGGCTTCTAGATCCCCCAATGTGGAAAGCCACCAGAATTGTAGCTCTACTCGGGCCGCTTTGAACCGTGTGCTCCTGGTCAAATCACCCAACCTCTTCGAGCTTGTTTTCTCTCCTGTAAAATTAGCCTGTTGTAAATAAAACATTCCACAGGGCTCCCATTTCTCTTGGAAATATGACACAAGGCACTGGTCTCTCCAGTGGGTTTGGAGACTTTGTGAAGGCGGGGAATCAGTTCTAGCACTCACTGGTCTCTCCCCCCAGCGCCAGTTCTTGTCCGGATTCCCTTCTTGTGAGGTAGACATTATGCCATTATCCCCCCACCTTTTTATTTTTATTTTTCAGTCCTAGGGATTGAATTTGGTGGTTCTGCATCACTGAACTACAACACCAGCTATTTGAGTTTTTGAGACAGGGTCTCACTAAGTTGTCAAGGCCAACCTTGAACTTGTGATCCTCCTGCCTCATCCTCTCAAGTTGCTGGTTTTACAGGTGTGTATCATTTTCCCCATTTACAGATGAAGAGACTGAGGTTCAGAGAGGCAGGACCTCCTTTGAATGTCTCAGTCATAGAACCTAGCTTCTGTGCTGTGGGCTCAGCGCCTCTCTGTCCCTGTGAACTTGGGAACTGATTCAGCACCAGAGGGAAGTTGAAGGGAGGGTGAAGTCAGGCAAAAGATGAACGCATTCGGAGCCAGGAGCCCCGGACCTGGCCCAGGCTCTCTTGTAAATGCGTCTTTGGAAGGCAGTGCCTCTCTCTGGTTTTGTTTCCGGAGAAAGAAACAGACAAGGTCACTTCCAAGGTTTCCCTAGGAATGACTGACATGGCCTGTGTTTTGCCACTGAGATGCCATCTGGGGCCTGGGAAGATGGGGAGAGGTGGCCCAGGTCCTGGCAGGGGGACGGGGGTCTTCTCAGATGCCTGCACCCCGCTCTACACAGAGATTAAACCCAGAGGGCGGAGCCTGGAGCAGCGGGCAGCAGAGTCTCCCAGAGCAAAAAGGACGCCCTCTCCTCTGGCTGCCCCACCCAGCTAGTCCCCACCCAGGGACCAGCCTGCAAGAGCCACTCCCCAGAGTTTGTACCAGGTTCCCCACTGGCCAAACTCAGCCTCTCCCCAGAACATTCCGGCTGGGCTGGGACAGCCTCCTGCTGAGCTGTGGACACCTCTCTCTGTTGAGTCCGGTGCCCTGTATACCTGAGCACGGGGGGGGGGGGGGGGGGGGGGCTTGGGTGGGACCCCAACACGTCACAACGAAATTCACCTTAAACAGTCCAAAAGTCAGAGAGAGACCCCCAGGACCATTGGGCTGCAGGAGTGTTTGCCAGGGGGCATTCTGGTCACAGGAATGGAGAGCTCTGAAGTCCCAGCATGGATCACAGGCAGGACCCGGAGACCCTGGGGCCCTGTGGAGCGACCTTTGCTGAGCATGCGGGACACGGCACCCAGGCAGCCCCAAGCGACAGTGCTTGGCTGTTTTATTTCCTCAATAGTAAGACAGAAGGGAGGCGGGGCCCAGCTCAGCACCAGGGTGGGGCGGTGGTTCGGGGTTCTGGCCCCCTCCCCAGTGCCTCTGCCGGCACCCCCACCTCCATTGGGAGCCCTTGAGTCAATGGAATTCCTGGTCTCCGATGTCACCCTGAATGCCACCTGAGCTGGATGAGGAAACACTGTTTCAGGCAAAGCAGAGTCAGAGTAACCCGGCTGGGCACTGCTGGTGGTCAGGCGTCGCCTGAGCTGGCCGGTGTCCATCCTGCCCAGCCTCAGTGGGTCTTCCCCTGGCCCTCGGAGATGATTTCTTCTGGCTGGGCACGCATGTACCACTCCACCCAGGAGCCATCGTAGATGGGCACATCGGGCTTGCCACAGAGGTAGGCCCCCAGTGCCACATGGCAGGCCGTGACGCCAGAGCCACAGGTGGCCACCAGTGGTTTGGAAAGGTCCACCTTTTTCTCTTGGAACAGGCGGCTGATCTCCTCGGGGCTCTTCTCCAGGCCCTCCTGAGTCAGGAATTCCGTGAAGGGGATGTTCACCGTGCCGGGGATGTGGCCGGGCTCGATGCCTGTGGCAGGAGAGCGGGGAGGAGAGAAGAGATGGAAGGTGGTGTGAACGGCACCCCGTGTGTAAGGCTGCACGTCGGGGCTCCCAGGCAAGCAGATGCCAAGCCCTGTCCTGTACCATCTCAAGGGATCCTCACAACACGAAGCTCAGCACCCAGGAGTTTGCCCCATTCTGCAGACAGTGACGCTGGGGATCAATGCATCTAGCAAACTGCTGTCTGGAGTTTGACCCTTAAAAATGGGCTCCCCCCAGGGCCACAGCGAGCCCCAGGCTTCCTGATGTGCACCTGGGAGCCCCAGAGCCCTCAGTGTGACCTCTGTCCAGCTAGAACCTGTAGCACTTGCAGCCGAGGGGTCTGGATCTGGCAGGACAGACAGGCAACAGCTGGGCAGCTGGGCATCATGACAAGTCCTACAGCGGCGTGGGGGGCGCCAGAGTGGACATTGCTGAACGCTGTCTCGGGAGCCCCTCATGGCATTATTCCCTTAATCCTCCATGGAAACCAACCGTCACCTCCCCTTTTGTAAAGGAGGAGAATAAGGCACAAAGTCTCGCCTGCCCTGGCTCGTCACTGTCATGGGCAGAGAAGGCTTAAGCCGGTGCCATCCAGAGCTGGGGCTACTGAGCAGCAGCCACACTGCCGAGAGGGAGGCTGGAAGCTCGCAAAGGGAGCAGGGCTCAGCCAGGAATGGGGGCTGGGTGGTGGGGCTCACAACAAAAGGGACCCGCACAGCCAGTGCTCAATCTGGGCGGTTCAGACTCCAGGGCAAAGCTCTGGGGCAGCTTCTGTGTCACGCAGGGGTAACAACCTAGGGGGAGCTGCTGACCTACCCCTGTCCCGATCCCTGGAAGGGACCATGCATCCCTAGTGAACAGATGCAGACGCGGGGCTCAGTCAGGGGCATCACCCAGCCAGCCCAGAGGGGCGAAGAGCAGGCTGTCGAGCCAGGGTGCCAACCACAGTCAGGGCTTCCCACACCCAGCAGGCCACCCAGCAAAGAGCACCCGCCCTGCTGGACTGATGTGGAGACTACAGGTGCACTTGGCCCCACCTGGGCCCTTCAGCAGGGATGGCATGGCAGGGACAGTCCCCACTGATTTGGACAGGAGCCGGCTTCACACCTGTTAGCTTGACTCAGCAGTCAACAAGCCCACCAAGTGTGTACAGTTAGCTGTCACCCATGGATGGGCGGATGGATGAGGGACATGCTAACCACTCTGAAAAACACCATGGCGGGGCTGGGGATGTGGCTCAAGTGGTAGCGCGCTCACCTGGCATGTGCAGGGTGCTGGGTTCGATCCTCAGCACCACATAAAAAATAAATGAAATAAAAAGATGTGTCCACCGAAAAATAAAAAATATTTTAAAATCCTCTCTCTCTCTCTTTAAAAAACAACAGCAACAACAACAATAACAACAATAAAAAACCCTATGGCCAGACAAGTACACGTTAATCACACCACTTCCTGTCCCCTGCAGCTTATCTGGGTGTGCAAATCAGAGCAGAGTGCTTTACACACTTGCTCTCTTTAGACTCTCACTGCACTCTTTATGTCCCCAGTTACGGCTCACAGTGCACACGAGCAGGGGCTGAGGTTCAGAGAGATTGGGTGACCTGCAGATGTCACACAGCCAGGGCAATCTGAGGTGGGCTCTGAATCCAGGTGGGCTGGGGATGCAGCAGGACCCAGGTGGTGCCCTTCTCAGGTGAACCATATGAAACTGGCATTCATGTAGGTTCAAAAATGGTGCCCTGGGAAATCCAGCTGACAGCCACCCTGTTGGTGTCCTCTCCACGGCCCTTCTGCAAGCATCATCCCTCTGGGAGAAGCCCTTCCTGCTCTGGCCCGACTTCCTCCTCCATCCATCATCGCAGGGGCTGCGGGAAGGACCTGCCGGGGACTCATCCCTTGGTTTCTTTACCAAACTGGGGACTGTCCCCCACTCCCCCCACTGATGCCACACACAGCACTGGGGTGGGAGCGCTGGGGTTCTCACCCTGGGTCCCCACGTGCTTGGGGTGGCCATTGCCCGATGCCCAGTAGGGGACAGTGAGGCTTAGAGAGGAAGGTGCCCTCAGCCCGAAAGGGAGGGCAGGGCCAGGAAGCGCCAGGGCGCAGGCCAGCCCTGCCCCAGCCCCAGGACACTTCCCGGCCCCTTTAAGTTACCGTCTCGCGGCTCAGGCTCGGTTCCGCGGAAGCGGCCGGCGGCGCGGGCGTCCACCACCTGGAAGTGCCGGGACTCCAGGTTGTCCTTGATGTCCTCGTAGGTCTTGACGAAGGCGGGGTCGAGCTGGGCATGGAACTCGGCGGGCGCGGGGCGGCTCTTGCCCGAGCTGAGTGGGAGGCTCTGGCGCAGCCAGTTTCGGAGGCCGCCGTCGAGCAGCGACACGGTGCGGTGGCCGAAGGCGCGGAACATCCACCAGACGCGCGGCGCCGCGTAAAGGCCCTGGTCGCTGGCGTCGTAGACCACGACGTGCGTGGCGGCGCCCACGCCCAGGCTGCCCGCGTACTCGGCGAACTGCGCGGCGCTGGGCAGCATGTGGTCGTAGGGCGACGTGCGGTCGCTGCACTGGTCGAGGTCAAAGAAGGCCGCGCCTGGGATGTGGCGCTCCTGGAACTCGCGGCGCGCGTCGCGGCCCAGCTTGGGCAGGTACCAGGAGGCATCCAGCAGCTGCAAGGGCTGCCCGGCCCGCGGGGCCCGCAGCGCCTCGGCGACCCACTGCGCGGACACCAGCGCGCGGAAGAGCTGCGGACCGGCCATGGCGGTGGCGACACTGGGGCTGCAGGCCTGCGCGACAGGGAAGATGTCAGGAGGGAAGGGAGGCAGAGGCGGGCCCCAGGGCGCGGAATGATTGCACCGCTGGGCTGGAGCAGGGGCTGGGACCTGGTGGGTGGGGGCGTGGAGCCCGCTCGGGGCAGAGTCCAGGAATGCAGACGGCACTGGGGGGAGCCCAAGCAGACTGGTCACCCTGGGCCTTCCTCTGCGGGGCCTTGGATGTGTACACAGCTCCAAGTGACCGAATGACCAGGAAGCCCAGGAGAGGGTCAGGCAGACCCCTCTGTGCAGCTCGCTGGGCAGGCCCTTAGAGGGGCAGGAAGGCTCACTGACACTTCAAAGCAATCAAGGCCAAAGTCTCAGCCCCTCCCTTCGAGTCACCTCTGCCTCCTTTCCCACCTGGCAAGCCCTGCTGGAACGCCTTCACTGGGTCACCAGGCATTTCAGTAAGATGCCCAAGAGGAATGGGGAGCCGGGAGTCACTGTCTGCCCGGTATCACTTACTGCTCACAATACCCCAGAAAAGCCCCAGACACAGCAGACTGTCAATTAGTTGTCCATCGAGGGACCTTAGAGGTTTGATATTGTCACCATTTCACAGAAGGGGAGATAGAGGTTCACAGAAGGGCACTAAAGTGTCCTGGTGGCAACAGGCTCCACCTTAGGCAGCCTGGTCCAGACCGACTGCCCAGCCTGGGGCTGGCTCTGGGAGTTCAGGAAGGCCAGTTTGTGCCCAGCCTGTTTTCTCTCTGGCCTTTCTTTAGCAGCACCGACAGTGACAGCCCCTTTGCAGGACAGGGCTGTCAGGGAATCAGCTCACTAGCCCAGGGACTTGGCAGTCCCTACATTCCAGGGCAGGCTCCCCAAATACTTCAAGTCCATTTATGATGGCTGGTGCCCTGCTCCATTGAGGGCTTCCGTGCAGGTTACAGAAAAGGGCCCCTCCTGCCAGGCAGAGGCAGGGCCCTACCAGGGAGGTGGCTGGGCATGTGGCCCTCTCAGGTGGACCCTAGGCAGGGCCCAGACCTTACATCCACACAAGGTAGTCCTATCAGTGACACGAAGCAGGTAGAGAGCAGTGCTCATGGAATGTCCCTGGAGGCTAGACCACATGCTAGGGCCACAGCCTCAGTGGTGGCAGAAGTCCTGTCTTCTGAGTGAGCCAACCGGCAGCTGAGGATTAAGTGCACCGCCCTGGGTCACAGAGCTGACCCGGGGCAGCCTCAGGATCAGAAACCAGAATTCAATCCTGAGGCTAGGCTTCTTCTCCAGCCCCAGGTGTCACGGTGACCAGAGCCTGTGAGTGCCCCCACCCCAGTCTCATCACAGCTGGCTGTCAGGAACCGACTTCACCCACAGGGTCAGGCCCTGTGCTGGATTCCGAGCAACTCCTGACTTGGCCAGGCCCAGGGGAGAGACAGGCTGCAGCCTTCTCTAGCAACTGAGGACAGCCTGGAGCTCAATGCGGACAGGAGGACGGCTACCTCGGTCGGGGGCGGGAGGCTTCCTGGAGGAAGCGGCCGTCCAAAAGGGGACCTTCCACTTGACTTTGGGGACAAGGAGGGTGCCAGGGGCTTTGGTTAAAGGGTGATCCCAGTACCCACGGGATGTGCCACAGTTACATAATACTGGGGTGCTGCTGGTCTCACTTGCGAACCATACAAGCTCCTGGAGCCCCATCATCCTTGGGGGACCCTTGCTTTTTTCTCCCCAAAGATTCAATAAGAGTGAAAAGCACCATGGTTTGGGAGTCAGAGAGCCCCACCCCCAGAGTCAGTGCAAAGACCACACTACTGCCTAACTGCTTGTGTGATGGTGGGCACATCTGGGCCATGCACGGGGGCAGCCAACCTCCACTCTTACAGAGAAGATTAAATAATAAATGGAAAAGAGCCACCGTCATACACTAACCATGGGGTTTTAATAATCATTAAAAACGGCCTAATGAAATCTCATTATTTCTTCCAGTTTTCTCTCAGGTGGCCTTGAACCTGAACCCATGGCAGCAAATCGAGAATCTTAGAATTTTAGAACTTGACCTGGGGGAGTGGTGCATGCCTGTAATCCCAGCCACTCAGGAGGCTGAGGAAGGAGGCCAGCCTCAGCAACTTGTGAGACCCTCAGAAACTTAGGGAGATACTGTGTCAAAATAAAAAGGACTCAAGATATAGCTAAAAGGTTAAGTGCCCCTGGGTTTAATACTTAGTACCAAAAATAAATAAATAAATACCCCCCTCCCCCCCACACACAAGAATTTTAGGATTGGGTGGGACTTCAGAGGTCTGTCATCCTGTCCTGCACCCTCTGCTTGATTGACAGGCAGTTCTCACAAAGGATTTTGGGCTATGGGGGAGGGTCTGAAAGGGCAGGCAGTGGTGTTCCTGAAGGGCGGGGACCAGGAGAAGGGATGCGGTCCCTGTGTGTACAGTGGGCCAAGATCATTGTAAGGGGACCTGGGGGGTGACTAACCCCAGGATATACAGGGTAGCCCCAGGCCCATCTCAGGGGTGCACACTAAGTCAAGTGTGGGCTCTGCCAATCCCATCTAGGTGGGCACTCAGGGGTCCCCTGGCCACCGCTGGTACCTCCCTCACCACCATTAAGCCCAAGGCAGAGAGGATTCCCTGATTAAATGCTTATCAAAATTTGAATTTTTGCAAGAGGCTGTGAGAAATTAGGTCCGGACAATTTTTAAAAAGCGGGGAGGGGGTCCTGAGGAAAACACTCTAGGGCTAGGAACAGCCCATAACATTGGCCTCCTCCCAGTTTGCCAGACAGAGCCAAGGCTAAATTTCAGGGATTTTTGCCAACTGGTTATTAAACAACCACTGTTAAAATTCAACTTTTATAAATTTAGAATTAACTAGGTTCCATTAAAAACAAATGTAATATTTTAAAAAGCGGTGACTTCAGCAATGAGCGAGCTGGGACTAGGTCCCTCTCAACTCCTCGGCCTCCCTTGTGAAGAAGTCCCTGTCCTGCTAGGCAGGACTGTTGGAGGAACTGAGTGACACCCTAGGAGCAGGCAGCGAGGCCACCCGGGTGGCCGCAGGCCCCGACTGTTTACTTTCATTTCACTCTGGCAAGTCCTCTGCCAGTTCTCCTGGGGGCCTCTGGGTCAGTGGGTCTCCCCCGGCCTCTCTGAATGGCTTTAAGGGTCCTCCTCCCGCCCTCCTTCCCCAAGTGGCACCAGGTCACACCAAACCTATCGGCGACTTTCCTCCACCATTCGCCCCAACCCCACCCTGCAGGCGACCCCAAGCAGCCCTGGACAGAGCCCCTTAGGGCGAATTAAGTGCGCCCCGGCCACCCTTCGCTCCCAGACGGCGCCCCCTCCTCCGCTAGGGCCGCGCGGGAAGTCCCGCGCCGCGCACCCCAAGGAGAGCCCTCCCGCTACCGACCGGCCGTCGCGACGCGGCGGGCAGCAGTTACCCGGGTCTCGGGCTCCCGGCTCCCTGCCTCTGCCATGGCGCCCCCTCCCCGCACCCGCCTAGGTCCCCTCCTTCCGCCACCAACCTGCGATGGGCCAAAGGGAGGAGACTCGGACACAGCCCACCGCCCTGGCCACTCGGAGCCGCCGCTGCCGGCGCCTTCCACCGGCCGAGCCCGCGGGGGGAGACGCCGGCGCCGCGAGGCCCGATAGCTCGCCTCCCGCTGGCCGCCCGGCGCCCGGGGCAGCCCCCTGGGGTCTCAGAGGCACTCGGAGCCCAGGATCGTTCGGGGCCCCTCTTGCCGGAGTGGGGGCGGCGCGGGGCGGCGGGCGGCGGCGCAGGTCCCCCCTCTCGCAGTGGCACGATGGTGCGGGCCGCCCGGGAGCTAGCGCTCAGGGTTTGAACGCGCCAGCTTCGCCAGCGGCTGGGGCGAGCGCCAGCGAGGCGGCCAGGGCGAGTGAGTGGGTCCGGCCACCTGCAGCCCCCGGGAGGGTCCTGGTGGCGAGAGCGGGGCGGGGTGCCCGGGACTCTCTGACCCGACGAGGACAGAGGGCACCCTGGAGGCGGGCTCCTGAGCGGGTGCGGGAGGGCTGGCGAGGGCGCTGTCCCGCGCGCCTGGGGACTCCAGGGCAGCTTCTCCCAGTGCACCCGCCCCTGCCCTCCGGGGAAAGAGGAGTCCAAGCCCAAGGACCGGGGCCCCGCATCTCGGGCGGTTAGCACAGTTCCTTCCTGGCAGGATCCCGAGGGCGAGTATGGGGTTTGCCCGGGCAGACGCCCGTCCAGCGACCTCGGCGCCCAGAAACCCTTGCCCCACCCCCTTCCGCGCCGGCAGGGAGCGGGGGAGGGCTGGGGCGCGTCCTTGGGAATCCGCAGACCGCCGCTGCACCCCGGGAGGTCACACTGCATCCTGGGGTGCCGGGGAGAAGCAGCTGCTCCTCCCAGGCCCCGCCCACTGCCCCCAGTGCGCTCAGGGGTGTCTCTTTCCCGATTCCCATCTGCGCCAGGTGACAACGCAGAGCAGACACCATGGTTCAACAGGTGCTCTACCGGGCCCTGGTCTCCACCAAGTGGCTGGCGGAGTCCCTCCGGTCAGGCAAGCTGGGCCCCAGCCTGAGGGTGCTGGACGCGTCCTGGTACTCACCGGGCACTCGTGAGGCCCGCAAGGAGTACCGAGAGCGCCATGTGCCGGGTGCCTCCTTCTTTGATATAGAGGAGTGCCGGGACACGGCTTCGCCCTACGAAATGATGCTGCCCAGCGAGGAGCACTTCGGAGACTACGTGGGCCGCCTGGGCATCAGCAACGACACGCATGTGGTGGTATATGATGGTGACAACCTGGGCAGCTTTTATGCTCCCAGAGTCTGGTGGATGTTCCGAGTGTTTGGCCACCGCACTGTGTCAGTGCTCAATGGTGGCTTCCGGAACTGGCTGAAGGAGGGCCACCCGGTGACGTCTGAGCCCTCACACCCAGAGCCAGCCATATTCAAAGCCACTCTGGACCGCTCCCTGCTCAAGACCTATGAGCAGGTACTGGAGAACCTGGAATCTAGAAGGTTCCAGCTGGTGGATTCACGATCCCAAGGGCGGTACTCTGGCACTGAGCCAGAGCCAGATGCAGTAGGTGAGTGTCCCTGTGGTCCCTGGGGAGTTACGCCTAATAGGAAGACATGGAGTTAGGGTGACTGGGACCCTCTCCAGGTTTTGCCCTCAGGCCCCCCACGCAGGCCTCAGTATTTCTATCTGTAGGACACACCTAGCCCTGACCACTTTTTCAGCTCAGATGCATGATGACCTATGTATGTGTCTTGATAGCCATGTGCTGACAAGTGACGCAGCATCGCCAGAGGTGACTGGTGATGTCTGCCCCTGTCCACTTCCAGGCACCCCCACATGCACTAGGTTGTACCAAAGGGCATGATGCCCATGAGCCAGCATTTATACTGGAGCCTCCTAAGGACACGCTGGATCTGCAACACCGTTTCCTGACCCCTCCCTCCCCTCAGCTTCCCTGGTCCCTCGGCTGAGGTTTGCAGGACAGCTCAGTTGATAACCTTTCCTAGCAGCTGGGCCTGAGGTGGAGCTGCCATGCTAGACACCTGTCACTGTCCCGTCCCATCCAACAAGTTGTAGTGCCCCATTTTGAAGGGGGTGTGTGTGTGGATGTCAGAACGTTCAGTGATGGGCTTCATTCAAGTGGCTGAGCCAGGGTTGAACCCAGAGCTGCCTTGTTTTAAGCCAGGACTCTAAACCTGGATACGCTCCATCTGTCTCCCCCCCCCCCCCAGCCCCCAGGGCTAGAGAGGAATCCCCTCTGCTAGATATTCCCAGAGAGATGGCCCTTCAGTCCCCTCCTGAGGAAGGGAGGCCAGAAGTCTGCATTGCTCGGGGCAGGAACCACTGAGGTCTAGAAGCTCCTGGCTGGAGGGAGCTTGGGCCTTGCCTTTCCCAGGTGCAGAACTTGCCAGCCTGTACCTCCTGGTGGCTCTCACACCCCTCCCCCCACTCCCCAGGGTCTACCTCTGGTGCAACATTTCGCCTAACTTGTGAAACAGTGTTGCTTCCTTTGTGTGCCCCAGGGAGAGAATGTGGGAAAAGTGTCCAGTCACAGAGCTGGAGGGACCGAGAGGTCACCTCATCAGACAGAGGCTCACGGAGGCAGGGGCAGGGCCAGCCCAGGAGGTGTCTGCCTTCCTCAGCTCCGCTCTCCCGGGCCCCTGCTCGCCTGCCGGCCTGCTCTCTGGAGGTCTGGAGGAGGTTCTGGTTCTGTGCTTGCAGCCCTCTGGCCTTGGCTCAAGATGCCTTTTCTTCTTGGGACTCAGGCTGCCCTGGAGGGAGGAGAGAAGGAGTTGGTTCTCTGGTGTTTCCCAGCCTGCTCCAAGGGAAATGGAGAAGTGTGATTCAGGCGCACTCCTTATCATTCCCATTTCACAGATGGGAAAACCGAGGCATAGAGAAGGGAAACGGCATGCTCCTGTGATGCCTCCAGAGAGCCCTGAATTCTCCCTCCTCTGCGACCCTCCTCCCGCCTCTGGTGCCCAAAGGGGAGTGCCAGGGAATATGAATTCTCCTTTCAGCACTGCCACTCCTTTGCATTGTGACCTCAATCTAATTGCTTGACCTCTGAGTCCTCTTTATAAAATGATCAAAATAGGGTCAGCCCTACCCACTGTGTGTGGAGGTGCTGATTTCAGTGCAACGGTGATTGTAAAGGGATTTGAGGGCAAGGAAAGGACAGGTCAGGGCCACCTAGAGGCATCGACGGCTCCCTCCCTCATTCTCTAAGAGGGTCTGCTGACCTCCACGCAAAATGTTTGGGGACACAAAGTCACAGGAGGCTATGTCAGGTTCATGGTCCCCACCTGGGGTGGAATAAGGGAGACACCGCGGGTTCAGCCGTCCAGATGGGAGGTTAGGGACAGGCTTTGCCCAGAGTGTCCCTGGCGGAGTGACCCCAGGAGGACCAGAGGGCTACTTCCTGGCTGGATGAGGCCCTTGGCCTAAGCGTGTGCCTTAGTCCTTTGGTCGGGGAGAGGGTAGGACTTGTTCAGATTCAGTTTACATCCGGGTGTGGCACCTAGGGGTGGCCCTGGGCGCGTCAGTCTGCCTTGCTCTCCTGACCTCCCCCTGGGTGGGGAGGAGGAAGAGGGAGGAGGCAGGGCAGAAGCCCGTGGACTTGATCCTGCTCGGCCCATGGGAGAAGAGACTTCTCTAACGAGGCGGAGTGGCCCAGACTTGGACCTGGTCGGCAGCATCAAAGCGAGGCTGTTTGTGAAGGCCACCCCTGCGGGTGGGGAGAGCAATCGCGAGGCTGGGGGAAAGGTCCCTGCTCCACGGGGCTAGGGAGCTCCTCTGCCTGTGTCCCTCCCCTCCAGGGCCAGGGCTGCCCACACTGGATCCCCTGGTGTCCTTAAGGAAGGCAGGAAGGGCCAAACAGGTTTTCCTGGCCTTGAACGTTCACACCTATTGGCAGCCTGAAGATGTAAGATTGCCAGCTTGACTCACACCTTCTTGGCCAAAACCGGAACATCAGTTCCTAGACCTCTGAGCAGTTGAGCATGGGACGTCAGCTCATCCATTCCCCTGCCTCAGCCTCCTTTTCTAGGGAGGCTCAGGGTAGTCAAAGAACACAGGCTTTAAGGTCTGACCCGTCTGACTGCACTTCAGATACCTTTGCTGTGTGCCCTGGAGCAAGTTACCTTACCTCTCTGCGCTTGAGCTCCCCACCAGCGTGGCGAGGATAATCTCCTGGCTTTGTGACGATTCGGGAAGATTAGGATGAGTTAATTAAGATTAATCTCTCCTCAACACATTTTTGGGAACCCCGGTGCCAGAGGTGGGGTCATGCCCATTTTTTGTGGGGACGGGAAGGCCCTGGGCCTGCAGATGCAGATACAGTGCACGTGGGCGGAGAGCAGCAGCAGACTCCGCCTTGGGCAGAGGACTCTTTCCTCCACTTGGCTGCTCTCCAGCTTCTCTGCGGGGAGGGGCACATCTTGGCGCCAAGGGCTGCTGGCTCCTCTTTGGGATTCCCCAGGCAGCCCCTGAGCCTTGGCCCAAGCAGGAGGGCCCTCCCCGGCTGGAGCCCAGCTCCACAGAAGCCCCCAACTGCACCCCTTCTCAGAAGAGGGGTCCTTTAAGGAATCAGAAAATAAGCAACGGCGCGTCCTCGTTGGCGGTGGGGAGAGGAGGGCCCCCGTGTGTGGTCTCCTGGGGTCACTGACCCAGCCCCAGCCGCCCCGGAAAGCGCCCGCAGTGGGTTCCTGGAGGAAGGTTCCGGAGCCACCGGGTAGTGCCCAGCTGGCTTCAGGCACAGGTCTGGGGCAAAGCAAGATGGGATTGCCACAGGAAGAGGGACCGGAAGTCTCTGTCACCCAGGGACCTTTATGCTAATGAGTTTCACAATCCTCTTTGGAGCTTGGGGTGGGGGCCCAGAACCCCACTGGTGCCTGATGTGTGCCCAGGGCCCTCAGGGCTTTTACCTGTCATAGGTAAACTCCCCCAGGCTGTGAGATGGGGGCTCCCCGTGCCACAGGCAGGGGGACCGAGACCTGGCAGGGCAGGGCCTGTGCAGGGTACCAGGATGTGGCCTGGTCCCACTAGTCAGGTCCTGCCCTGCCCCCTCTTGCCACCCTGGCCCCAACCTCCCATGGTCCAGGTGTACTGGGGCGGTGGGGACTTGGGGAGGAGCCCAAAGAGGTGGAGGCAAACCTGTGTGGAGCCCAGTCCCGTTCCCCAAGTCTGGAGGGCGCAGGGTGTGTGAGAAGGGAGGAGGGTACCCGGCAGCCTCGGGCCTGGGCCAAGGCCTTGAGGGGGCCCGGCTCTGTCCACGTCCAAACCCTGGGCCCCTCTTGCTATTTCAAAGCCAGTTTGTTCTTTTGGTTTTTTTGGTGCCAGGGATGGAACCCAGGGGTGCATACCACTGAGCCACGTCCCCGGCCCTTTCTAGATTTTATTTTGAGTCGGGGTCTCGCTGAGTTGCTGAGGCCGGTCCAGAGGCAGTTTGGGCAGAGGGGCCCTGCTGGTGGAAGGGACCCCGGGCCAGCCTAGCTACACATTTGCTTCTATCCACACCTTGCACAGGCCTGAACGGCCCACAGTGACCCCGTCCTCGTAGGTGGCAAAGTGGCAGGAAGCCACAGCATCTGAGGGCATGGGTGGGGGCAGCCCCAGTGGTCAGTGCTGTCCCTGTGGCCTTTACTCCTCACACAGGGGGAGGGGCAGTCTCACTCCTCTTTTACCCCTGGGGAAACTGAGGCCCAGAGAGGTGGCAGGACTTGTTCAAGGTTACCCAGCTAGTAAGCGGCAGAGCTGGGCCTTCAACTTGGGTCTGGTACCAGGTCACCCGCTCTTTTCACAGCTGTGTGCCCAGAAGGAAACCCAGGGGGCTCGTGGTGACCCCAGGCCTGTCTTACCTGTCCATGTGGCCTGAGGTGGGACACTTCGTTCCACCAGGCCTCGGTGTGTTCATCTCTAAACTGGAGTGACATTGAACTTAGTGGCTTGCGACATTTCCTGACGTCAGTCTTCCTTGCTGGGCTGGCAGCTCCGGGGGGGCCTCAGTGGTGGCTCTTTAGCCAACAAAGCACGTGGCATTGGCAGTCACGGGTCCCATGTGTCCCTCTCGACAGAGCAGTGACGTGGGTCTGTACCACTGAGCCCATTTTACAGATGAGGCAGCCAAGGTGTAGAGAAGGGAAGCTGCTCTGCCATGGCGGAGGCTGGTGGAGGTCGGTGGAGACGGACCGCCGAGGCTCATCCCTGTCCTCCCAAGCAGGTGTCACTCTGGACCCCCTGCTTCAAGGAGGCTGCGGGGGTCTCATCCGCGGCATCGAATGTCGTAGTTAGGGCTGGCAACAAGTTTAGCTCCACAAGGCGCCAAGAAGATGTCATTTTAATGTGCAAAGCCTGTGGCCCCCTCCACCCCAGCCTCCCTGACCCTGGCCTCTGCCCCCAGGGCTGGATTCCGGCCACATCCGCGGCTCGGTCAACATGCCCTTCATGGACTTCCTGACGGCGGACGGCTTCGAGAAGAGCCCCGAGGAGCTGCGCGCCATGTTCCAGGGCAAGAAGGTGGACCTGTCCAAGCCCCTCATCGCCACCTGCCGCAAGGGTGTCACCGCCTGCCACATTGCCCTGGCCGCCTACCTCTGCGGCAAGCCCGACGTGGCCGTCTATGATGGCTCCTGGTCCGAGTGGTTCCGCCGGGCGCCCCCCGAGACCCGCGTGTCCCAGGGGAAGGGCGGCAAGGCCTGAGCCCGGCCTCTCCTGGGGCACCGGCTCCGGCCAGGTCAGGGGTCCCGTGTGACCCACGGCTGGTCCCTAGCCAGGCAGGTGGACGCGGTTTTTAGAATTGCCCTTCCCCCACACTGGAATAAAGCGCCTTTTCCAGAGCCGGTCTGCGGTCTCCCTCCACCCTGTCCCTGTCCCCACTTCACCCCCAGACTCCTTGGCCTCCACCCGGCAAGAAGCCGCCCGAGCCCCCCCCCCGCCCCCCGCAGTTGGGGGAGCCGCTCAAGGGCCACTTCCTTATTCAGCCACCTGCGCCCCGGGTCAGGTGGACTTTGCCCTGGAGCATGGGGGACCTACGGGGGCCAGAGAGGTGAGCCAGGGCCAGCCTGGCATCCCCCACTCCTGCCATGGGCCCAGCCCCTTGTGCGGAGGGGAAGGGGACAGCCAGCCTTCCAAGTGAGTGTCCCAAGGTGGCTCAGAGCCCAGGGCCTCAGAAGCAAGAGGCAAGCAGCCTCCACCGTGGGCCTCCTTCCTGGCTCAGTCAGACCTTCTGGGGCGCCATGGGGGAGGGGGTGGAAGGCCGCTGGACCTGGCGTCCAGTTAGGAGGCCCCCCAGAGGGGAAGCTGCCAGGCGGGTGGCCACAGGGCTGGATCCCGAGTTTCCCAGAGAGTCCTGAAACCCTGGTGGGGCTGCAGGGCGGATTCCAGCCCCTACGGGGTCCCCTCTTGTCCCTCTCCTGCTTAGACAGAGTCTCGAGGGCAGGGCCGCGTCTGAGCCCGGAGCGGGCGCCCAGGCCCTCAGGCTCTGCAGAGCCCTCGCCTCAGGTGGCCCTCCTCAGGCTACTTCAGGGACAGCCTCAGGAGTGACGTGGCTCTGCCGCCATCTGCTCCTCCTGTCGCGGCCGCTCCGTGAGCACAGTTATGGGCACCTGCTGTAGGTCAGGTACATCCAGGTGCCAGGGCTGGGCAGGGGACACAGCAGTCCTCCTGCCACCTCCCACGGGCTTACCACAGGACACTGTGTGTCAGGGGGTGGATCGTGCTGGGGACGGAGTGGAGGGCTAGGCGCTTCTCAACGCGGGGCCCTGTCCCCAAGCCCAGGTCTGGAAGCTCATCGTGCAGGAAAGCCAGCATCTGAGGGGCCAGCGCGGGGGAGAAGGGGGAGAGGTGGGACTGGGCTTGCGGCCACCTTCTCAGCCCCGGGGCCTCGGGTGGAGGCTCAGAATAAGGAGGAGAGGGATGAGCCTTGCTGGGGGCGGCGGCCACATCGGGTTGAAGCAGGCGGAGGTTCGCGGACCCGGGCCCCTCCCACCCTCACGGTCTTTCCCGGCTCCTCTCTTGGCCATTGCCAGGAGCTGGAGGGGTCTTTAGCGGTGGACAGGATTGTCACGAGGCCAAGGTCCGTTCGCGGTCGGCCTTGAGGCCCCCCCGGGCATCTTCAGCCTGAGCAGGAGGGCGGGGCGGGGCAGGTCCAGCTCAGCAAGCCAACCCTGTCGTGTGGGCCTCCAGTGGTCCCCAGGTCACCATGCAGCGCTGAGCAGACTGGCCCAGCCACCAAGGCAGCACCAGAGAAGACAGGGGGCAGAGACCTGCACCCACTGGCTGTCCGTAGGCCCCAGTTGAAGAGTCAGTGTTTTTAGAACAAGTGACAGGTCCCCTTCAGGTCCCCAAGGATAACTGAGGCCACCATTATCACCCCCCCCACCACCATATGCTACCACAGTAAAGCTGCCGGGAAACTGATAATGTACGGCCCAGCGGCGTGGTCTCCCAAATCAGTGATTTTTAAGTCCACTAAGAGCAAGTGAAGCTTGAGGGTTTATTTGGGGTTGTGAACAGTCTCTGCAGGGAGCAGAGCCCTGGAGGAGGTGAAGAGGCTAGTCCAGCAGATGTCCAGGGACAGGAAGTTGCAGTGGGGGGAACAGCGAGTGCAAAGGCCCTGAGGCTGCAGTGCTTGATGTGTTCACCATGGGCCAAGGCAGCATTGGCCAAGGAGGACCGGCCAAGGTCTGGGGGGGCCATAAGGGCCACTGGGAGGTAGGGCCTTGCCGGTAAAAGGGGAGTTCAGCTTTTAATCCAGTTGAGATGGGAAATTACCGGAAGGTTTGGGTTAGAGCAGGGACAAGGTTCAACTTTGGTTTTACCAGGATCACTGCCTGCCGAGGTGAGAGATCAAAGGACAGTGGTGGAGGAGTCCAGCGTGGTCCCGGTGGACTGTCCTGTCCAGTGTGACCTTCTCCCTCAGAGTGGGGGTGGCCACTGCTTGCACCATCAGAATGTGGCAAGGGAGGCAGGTGGCACTTTGGCGCTATGGCATACACGACTGTTCTGTGGGGAGTCTCTTTTCCTTGCTGGTTTGATGAAGGAAGGAGCGTGCGGGGCCACATAGCTAGGAACTGAGGTCGGCCTCTGGGTGACCAGCAGGACGCTTGGGTCTTCAATCCAAAGGCCTCCAGGAACCGCGTCGGCCAACAAACAGGGCCGCAGTGTCATCTGAGCCCCGTTCCCCGCAAGGCCGAGGCAGGGGGATCACGGGTCTGAGACCCGCCTGGGCAGCTCAGCAAGACTCTGTCTCAAAACCCACAACAAAGGGCTGGGGGCAGCTCCGTGGTGAGCAGCGTGCAGGAGCCCTGGCTCCGTCCCCTGCTGGGAGGAAACCCTAGTCCCTCTGCTGAGCTTCTAGGGCCCTTCAAGTTCCAGCCCTAAGGGCCCCCTGCGAGCCCTGAGCCCGTTCCCTCGGCAGGGAGTCACGCGCCCTACTGATTGCTTCGTGCTCCCAGGAAGGTCCTCTGCCCTTGGTGGCCTCTGTCTAGCACCCAGCCTGGCATTGGATGCTCGAGTGAACGGTACGCAGAGACCCCTCCCGTGCCCTCAGGCCTGGCCCCTCATCCCTAGGGGGGGGCCAGCCAGTGCTCTGAGGTCACAGAGCCCTACGGGGTTGCCATGGCAACTCCAGTGAATAATTGGGAGGGCTCCCTTCAGCATCCACCCTTTGGTCTGCCCCCTAGCTGTGCACTTTGGGTCAGTCCTCTCAGGCTTCGGTGGCCCCGGGGCGGTTTGCGTGCTTTCCGACGTTATGAGAGACACTGGAGAGGTAAGGCAGAGGGGTGAGGGGGCCGGGCTCCCCAGGGGTGGGACGTCACCTGTCTTCTCCCCACTCAGAACTGCTTGTGAGTGACAAGTGCCCAGCTGCAGCCAGACCTACCCTCCCTCCTCCTTGGCCAAGATCTCTTGGGACATTCACTCCAGGTCAGAACGTGGCAGTGGGTCCGCGCTTCTGCGTCAGCTGGTCCAGTACTGGGCAGTACTTTAGAGGGAGACAGGGAGCGGGGGTGGGGTGGGGGTCACATCAAGTAGGTGACGGAAGTGGAAATCTGACCTAAAGGAACCAACTTGAACTTGAACTGACTGACTAACTTGGAGCTGGGAGAATGGCTTAGTCTGAGCACCATCTGGGTGAAGTCCTGTGGTTTGGCTTCTCTCTCTCTCTCTTGTCCCGGGCTTCCCCCCTTCCCCCTCCCCCCTCCCTCCCTTCCTCCCTCCCTCCCCCTTTCTTCCCCTCCCCCCCCATTTCTTTCTCCCGTGCTGGGGACGGAACACAGAGCTAGACGCACATTTCTCCTGCGGAGCTACAGCCCTCCCCCATCTCTCTCTGAGCCTGGGTAGGTAAGTTCATGTTTACTGTGCGCACCTCGGCGAGTCCCCGAGAAGACGCCATCTCCTGGATGTGGGGTGCTTGACATTTGAGTTGTGTCAGCATCTTTTACTGCATAACAAGTCACCCCCCCCCACGTGGTGGCTTCCAATGACAGCGTCGATGACCTCACAGTCCTGTGGGCCTCGGTGGGTCATGGCTGCCGTCAGGTGCTGTGGGCTCCTGAATCCATTTCTTAATTTTACATCTTTTGGCATCTGGAGAGGATGAGATCTTCAGCACTGTGATGCTTTGGAGCCTGTGGCTTGACACTCTTCCCTCACATGTCACCACAGCGGGAGGGGACCCGGGGCTCTGGCAACACTGAACCCCGCAGCCGGTTGATCATGCTCCGCTCTCCACGTAGCTAAGTTTCTGCCACTTCAAAGGGCTCGTCTTCCTCTGAGCTCCAATAACATGTCCTCGTTCCCCTCTGCGCCCTCCCTGGCAGGGCGGCGTCCTCCCAGGCCAGACTTCTGCCCGTTGTTGACTATTTAAGGAGAGGGGCCTTTGCCCTCCTGCTCTCAGTACCCTACAAGGCTCTGCCTGCGCTTGGTCCCCAGCCACCCCACATTTGCAGGCGTTTGTTGCACAACACCCAGCTCCTGGCACCAACGCGTATTTGCCGTCTCCTGCTGTGAACAAATGGCCTCAGCTCAGCAGCTGACGCATGTGCTTGGAGAGCACCAGTCCGGGTGCTCACGGGTTCTGTGGTCAGGACCCTGGTGGGGACCCGAGGGGTCCTCTGGCTCAGGGTCTGCCGTCTGGGCTGTGTTCTCATCCAGGGACCCACTCCCAGGGCACTCAGGTGGCTGGACTTGCTCCCCTCTTGAGGACTGTGGACGAAGGGCCTATCTTCCTTATGAGGGTCGGTCAGAGGCCACCCTTAGCCCTTGCCACGCGGGCCCCTTAAAACACAGCAGCTGCCGCCCGCAGAGCGATGGAACCAAGAGAGATGCCACCCACCTAACCTGGAGGTGACCTCCCAATGCTTCTGTCATGTCCTTTTGATCAGAGCAAGTCACCAGGTCCAACCCACACCCAAGGGGAGGGGACAACACCGTGTGAGAACACCAGGTAGGAATCACTGGAAGTCGTATCGGAAGCTGTGCCATCACTGAATAAAAATTAGGATATTTCGTGGTGCGGCACTTGGAGCCCAGGGCCCCAGGCAGGCTGGACAAGCCCCCTACCGCTGAGCTGCAGCCCCCGCCCCCATCATAATTATGAAAATTCAAAATTAATAGGGTGTTTTGCTTGGCAGTTTTTCAAGGGAATAAAATTGATCTGGTTCCTACCTGCTTCGAGCTTACCAGCAAACCAGTGTGCTGGGTGACTTTCACAGGTCTCTCTGCCTCTCTGGGTCTTACTCCTCCAAGATGCCGGGCAGCGCCAGCTGTTGGTTCATTCACACTGTGGCAAACCCCGAGAGTGATAAGAGGATGTAGATAAGGAAATGGGAGAAGGATGGAAGTCCGCCCTCAAGGAGGAGTCCCGGGAGGTTCCGCTCTGCCCTTCCAGGCTGGCTGGGCGCTTCCCTTCCCTCCCCCTGAAGGCTCCCTGGTAAAAGGGGTCAAATCCCGTCTGCAGGGGACGTCGTTCCTGGGTGGCGACTGCGTGATGTGCGCCGAAGCCAGGGGTCTGCTTGGGCTCGGGGGGGGGGGGGAGGGGTGCAGGGAGTGAGGAGCTGGGGTCCCGAGGCTCGGTGACAAAGGCCCTGAGGCCCTGCTGCTTCTGGGTCCAGGGCTCCCTACAGAGGGCAGAGCCTGCAGGGGCCCGGGGGGTGGCCCTGTGCCAGGCAAATGGGTGGCTCCGGGGACCCTGGGGACGAGGTGTGCCAAGGGGCACCAGCAGCAGTTCCGTGAGCCGGGGAGGAGCCGCCGGGGCTCTGCAGCCGTGTGGCCGGGCTCTGCTAGGACCCTGTTGATGGACACTGTCATCTGAGACGCTGAACGTCTGCTTTGTCTACAGGACTGACCTTGGGTTACCTGTCCCAGAGCAAGAGTCCATGGAGCTAGGCCCCCGAACAGGTAAGACGGGGCGCAGGGACACGCGAGGGCGTGTCCAGGGCTTCGAGGGGCTCCCTGGGGGTGGCCGGGAACTATCCCCACTTCAGGTCCCTCGTCTCAGGCACTCAGGGCAGGGAGAACGCAGTGAGGGACCTAGCTGCCCTGGGTGGGGGACGGGGCAGGCCCCAGGCTTGGGTAGCACGGGGGCGGGGATAGCACAGCAGTCAGAGTCCCTGAGAGGGAGACGGAGCCCCAGGGAAGCTTCTGCAGCCTTTTCTGTAAAGCTGACCTGGAGCAGGCCGGACACCCAGCAGTGGGGCGGCGTCCAGGCCCCGGGATGGCCCTGTGCCAGGCAGTTGGGTGGCCACCGTCTGCAGGGGGCCCGGGCTCTGGGCTGTTTCCTTAACAGCGAGTTACAAAGCACAGCACAGAACCTGATCTTGTTTATAAACAAAAGGAGGCAGAACCAGCCTCTTTCAAGAGGCCTGCAGGACCCTTCTAGAATGTTTAGAGGGACGTCCCCAAGCGTGTAGCCTGGGCTGAGGATGGGGCGGCCGTGGGGGCCCGGCCTCCAGTTTGTGGAGTGGGAAGGAAAGAGGGACCATCCTTGGGGCTTGGACTCAGAGTTTCGGTCCAGCCGGTTCCCAGGGGCCCCGGGACTGCCCGTCACTAAGGGAGAGCAGTGGGGGTTAGACTGTGAGCCGGGCCCCGGGTTGGCCGGGGGACCTCGGTGTCCAGATGAGAGCAAATGGGCGTCTCGGCCTGGACGAGGGTGGCGCCTCTCGAGCCCCCTTAGCGTTGGCGCGCCCACTCTCCCCTGATCACCCTGTGCCTGCTGCGATGGCCAGGGCACTCCCCCCGGGGGTCTCCGTGACCCTCCCCTTCTCTAGCAGGGGACAGCCGACTGCCCCCTGTAGGCGGAAGCGCAGCCTCCTGAGAGAGACACACTGTGTGCCGGGAGCTGGGAGCTGGGGTGCGGCTGGCCTGCTGCTCGGGTGGGTGTCGGGGGGACTTGGCTGCATTTGGAGGAAAGGTGGGATTTTGACTTAGAAAAGCAGGGACTCTCCTTCCAGGGAGTGGGACGTTATAGGGCTTCTGGGGACGGTAGGGGAGCAGCTCCTGGCTGGTCTGGAGCCAGGGCCAGGGCAGGGAGCTGCTGGCCCTGGGGTCAGGGGCGGATGGGGGGGACCAGGTGGGGATGGGGGGGCGGCTGGGGGGAGGACGGGGTGGGCGCTGGCGAGCTGAGGCCTTAGCTCTGGCTCTTTCTTGGCGTGTGACTTGACTAAGCTGAGAATTCTGCAGTCCCAGGGCTGCCGAGGCCCTGGGTGGGTCGCTGCAGGTTCACCATGAGGAAGGGAACTGAGGATGCGGCGGAGGCAAGAGCCCAGGGAGGCCAGTCCTCCTCAAGGCCACAGGCTGGGCCTCAGGGCTGGCCAGCGGGTGGTCATAGCAGCGTGGGGACCCCGTGCTGGGCCTGGCTGCCAACGGGCTTCTCCCGCCCCTCTCCGTCCTCCCCCTCCCTCTCCCGGGTTTCTGGGCTCTGTCCCCCTCCCTGCCTCTGCCCCGCCCTGCCCCCCTCTTCCTGCTCTGTCCCTCTGTTCCCTCCTGTCCCTCTGTCTCTCCGCCCTTCAGGAGCAACCACTTTGGCCCACCTGAACAACAAGGAGGCCCAGCAGGACGCAGTCCCCTGGGGCGCTGCCTGCAACTCCCTGGACCCCTCCAAGTTCAAGTACCAGGTCCCCCTCTCCCCGGGGAGCACCCAAGGCAGCTCCCTGGAGTGCGGCCACCCGGAGATCCCTCCTCCGCCTCCGAGCACGGCCAGCCGGGACCCTCTGTGTATGGACCCACCGCCGAGGGCCCTGAGAGGGGGCACAGAGGGGGCTCAGCCAAATGAAGGCCCCAAATCCAGGACCCAGGAGCACAGGGGGGCGCCCGTGAGCCGGAAGAGCAGTGCCATTCCTGAGAACATCCGCCACAAGTTCGGGAGCAAAGTGGTGGACCAGCTGGTTTCTGAGGAGCAGGTGTCCAAGCAGGGGACAGGAGGAGGAGGTGGGGGAGGGCTACTGGTGGGGACTCACAGTGAGGGTACAGAGGAACCTGCTTCTGAGTACAGTCCCCGCGGCAGCAGATTGGAAGGCAGTGTTTAGTGAGCACCTGCTACGTGCCAGGTGCTGGGCTCGGTTCAAACTCCTCACAGTGACAACTCATTTCATCCTTCCAACGACCCTGGGGGAGGTGCTGTTATTACCCCTTCCAGGTTGTGTGGAACAAGGACCCAGTCTGTGATGGCAGGTTCTGGAGCCCTGGCTCTGGATGACATTGCAATGATGAGCCTTTTGTTTGAAACTGGATGTTTTCAACTTGAACGAGTCTCCTAGAGACGGAGCATCCAGCGGACAGGCACTTACTGGGGGTGAAAAGACCTAGGTTTGAATCCAGCTTCTGCCCGTGAATGCTGAGTGACTTTGGGTAACTTACTTTGCCTCTCTGGGCTTCAGTCTCGACTTCAGTACCGTGAAGCCGTCAGACTAGGTCAGGGTGACAAACTCACGGCCTGCATGCCCCACGCTCCCAGCCTGCCTTCATGGCAGACATGACCAGTGGCTGCCGGCACTCTTGCCGCCGACGTACCCTTCTAGGCAGCCACTACTGAAGCTTGAGATGACTTCTGCCTTCCGCTGCTGGTCAGGGGCTACCGTCCCTCCTGCGCTGGCTTTGAGGCATATTTTTGAAGCCATTTGACCCTCATCGCACCTCCAGGCCAGGCGGGAGTCACCACTTCCATTTTTAACCGAGGGTAAAGCCAGAGCTCAGCGGGGTGAGGATCTGCTTGGGGGTCCCACTGTGCTCACAAAGACTGCAAGTCAGGCCCTGCCCATTTGTCACCTGGAGGCCAGCAACTCGGCCCATCAGACAATCTGGGAGACTGCCATCTCCCACCTTCTGTGCCACTTGGAGGGACGTGTTGCTGTTTGAGTTGACTGTCACTGCGTCACACTGCCCCTCTCAGCCTGGGGAAGGTGTCACTTCTCTCTCTAGCCTCCATGGCCCTGGGCTTGAATCAGGGCATCTGGTGTCCCTGCCCAGCTGTAAGTGTCCTTGAGCCTGCTGAAAGCTGCTCCCAAGACCCCTCCCCAGGATTTGCAAGTAGAGACACGGAGGCCCCTAGAGGAGCAGGACTGGCCAGAGTCAGCAGCTGCCCCAGGCAGACCTGGACTCCCTGCCTCCTAGGCCTGAGCTCAACTCCTGGGCCTCGGTTTACCCCTGGCACCAGGGAGGAGTTGGCCTGGGTGGACGCTGAGGACTTTGACCTGTGACTGCTCAATCACAGTGGCAAGCTGGGTCTCTGGGGCTCCCGAGCTGTGTGCGCTGGGCAGGTCTGGCCTCCTAGGGTCAGTTTCCCCCTTTATAAGAGGGCAAAAGTAGTGTAACCCCACGAAGACGCTTCCTGAGGCTGCACATAGTAGGTGCTCAGTGCGGGGAGTTGGGGTCCTGCCATTCCTGATGCCCGCTCCCTGGTCTATTTGGCTCCCGGCCCTGGGGGGTTGGTGGGGGGCTGCAGGCTGAGGGGGATCAGAGGGAGGAGGAGTTAGGAGGGAGCTGGGGGTCGTTGACATCCCTGGTCTCTGCTCCCTGCCCCCCGTCAGGCTCAAGGGGTCATCGGTGAAGTCTTGGAGGGCCAGAGGAGGGCAAGCTCGTGGCCCAGCAGGACCAAGAGCTCTTCGGAAATCTCCTCCATCTTTTCAGACTACTATGACCTGGGCTACAACATGCGCTCAAACTTATTTCAAGGTCAGACCAAAGGGCATGGGCAGGGCTTGTGGTCCCCAGGGGGCGGGGCAGGGGAGCTCTGGGGCTTCCACCCCACCGTGGGGCCAAAGAGCCCAAGGTGCCCCACGGCGCCCACTCCAGACTCCGAGGGCTTCCTCCATGCCAGGCCTGGGGCGCTGGGAGCATCCTGTCCCCTGGCCAGCCTGTGCCCAGGCAGCTGCCCCGTTGCCAGACGCCCCTCCTCGAACCTCCAGACACCCCTGATTTCTTAATCTGCCAGTCGGAAGCCCGCCATCCCTGGCCCGGGCACCTTTGGTTACAGTGACAACACGAGGTTTCTTGGGTTCAAAGCTCAGCTCTGCCACTCACTAGTGGGCCGTGGCCTCAGGCAGGATCCTTGCCCTCTCTGGGCCTCAGCTGCCTCCTCAGTGCTGTGAGTTGGTAAGGGCAGTGTGGCCCTCAGCGGGGTGGGCAGGACTGCATGAAGACTCGAAGGCGCGTGGAGAGCGCCCGGTGGAGCTAGAGCCTGGGGTGGCCCCACCTGGGGGGGACAGAAGGGTGCCCTGGAGGCCGGGCCATTTACAAAGGGCTCTCTTGGAGCCATGGAGTCCTGTGTGGCCAAGGGGGGGGACACAGCAGCTCCATTCCCAGGAAGGATGGAGACCCCTTGCTCAAGACCTCTGGGTGGTCTGAAGGGAGCTCACGTCCAGGGTGTTCTTCGGCCTCCAAAGATCCCCCTGGGCCAGTCACCTCCCTGGCCATTCCCGAGGGTTCCCTGGGTGTGCAGAAGGGCGTCCGCGGCCAGCAGGCAGGGGCTTCTCTCGGTCCCCACTCTCCAGCCCAGTGTCTTGACAGAAGGTCTGCTCTTTGTGGCCCTCGGCCCTCCCCCTTCCTCCAGCGGCCAGGGCGCCCGGAACCTGGCAGACCTCCCCTCCCTGGCGCGGGTCCCTGTCACCAGAGGAACCAGACACCCATGGGAAGCCTTTCTGGGTTTTTCTTTGAGCTTGGAGAAGGGGTGGTGCTGGGAGAGGGGAGCAGGGACACGGCGCAGATTGGCCTCCCTCTGCCCCCCGGGGTCCTGCCCTCCCTTCTCTTGGCCAGTTGTAAACTTACAATGTTTACCTGTGTGTAAAAGAACCAGCCTTTAAAACACCTGTGTCCCCATCACCCAGCCTGGCAGTGGGCACTGAGCCAAGGGTGCGCTGGAAGCCGCTCGGAACAGCTCGCACCAGCTCACAAGGGCCGATTGTGCCACTTCCCTGAACTGATTGGCATAGAGACGCTGCCCGAAGTTGGCCCAGGAGCCTCGTTTACACCCCGGAAATCGGCAAATGCTGTGCCCGGGCTTCGCCCTGCGGCACGTTGTGTCTGCGCCCCGTCTGCACGGCCTCTTGGGGCTGCCCCCCGGGGCTGGTCATGGCACTTGCTGCCCAAGGTGGGTGAGGCTCCCGGGCTGTCAGGAGGCAGCGGGAGAAGTCAGAGAGGCAGCAGGCTAGATCATGAAGGCCCTGGAAGATAGGACGCTGTGATGGTTTGGATCTGGAATGTTCCCCAAAGACTCACATGTTGAAGGTTGGTCCCCAGAGCAGCTATAGTGACAGGGAAGTGATGGGATCACGAGGACTCTGACCTCATCTGCAAATTAATTCAATGATGGATTCATAATTTAAATGGACTCTCTAAGAAAGTGGTGGAAATTGTAGGAAGTGTGACCCAGTTGAAGTGAGTGTGTGTCTCTGGGGACTGAATCCTGTCCCTGGCCTCTCCTCTCTCTCCCTGCTTCCTGGCTGTCATGAGATGCTCCTTCATGCCTCCCTTCTGCCATTAAGTTCTGTCCTCCTGTGCCCACAGTAACAGAGATGGCTGTCTACAGACTGAAGCCATGAGCCAAAGTAAATATTTTCCTCCTTTAAAGTTGTTTTTCTCGAGTACTTTGTCACAGTGACGGAAAGCTGACTACCACAGAAGCCACGCTAGGTTTTAGCAGGGTGATGGGCTAGTGTGACGTAGTGAGAGGATCACTCCTGTTGCTGGGCTGTGAATAGACATAAGGGAGAGGTAGGGCAGAAACAGGGACACTGGTGAAGAGAGGGGATTGCTAGATCCCAGATGGGACAGGGGACCGTGGCTTGGTGTGTCGGGCAGCTTCCTGTTACCGTAACACCTACCTGAAAAAAAAATCCACTTATAAAGAGAAGTGGTTTATTTTGGCTCAGAGTTTTGGTGTTTCTGGTTTATGATTGATGGGTCCCGTTGCTTTGGGCCTGTGGAGAGGCAGCTCTGAAGGCAGGAGCGGTGGGGGAAGCTGCTCAGCTCGCAGCAGGGAGCGCCACAAGAGGAAGAGGGCAGCCAGGGTCCCACACCCACCAATCTAAGACCTCCTACAGGCCCCACCGCTTGGCATTTCCACCACCTGCCCAGAGCCCCAAGCTGGGTACTAAGCTCCTACACAGGGGCCCCTGGAGCGCGTGACAGATCCAAACTACAGCCCTCGTTCTGGGAGCCAGGCTGGGGCACTGCACAAATCTGGAGGGCTCCCTGTGCTCTAGCGGTGCTCAGGAAGGTGTGGGGAAGCATCCCGTGGAGGACTCTGGGTGAATATGCTAAGAGTGGGTGTGGGGCGTGAGGGAGGGATCAAGGTTGATCTCCAGCTGTTGGTCTTGAACAGCTGGAGGGGTTTCTGGCTGCCCCGGGGCACACAGAGACACAGGGACAGTGGGAGAAATCCTGTCCTGTGCTGAGTCACAGAGATCATCCCTCCTAGACTCTTCTAAACCACTTCTCGGTTTGCTTTTCTCATTTAAGTCCTTAATCCGCCTGGAGTTGATTTCTGCCTTGGTGTGAAGTGGGGATTCGTTTTTAATCCCTTCTTTCTGCGGATTCCTCTTACAGAAGAGTTTCTCGGTTCCTCTTACAGAAGAGTTCCGCCTTGCCCCAGTGACCTGCAGAGGGGCTTTTGTCATCTGTCAAGTTTCCACATGAGTGTGGATGGGTTTCCAGCCCTCCCTCTGTCCAGGGGTCTGATATTACACTCTCAATTCCCAGGTGTTGTGTGGAGTCCGACATCTGCTCACCTGTTACCTCCTGCACCCCCCACTGCCACCAGCGGCCCATGGCCTGCGTTCCTCTTGCGCAAGCATTTCAGAATCAGCTTGTTTTTTTTTTTTTTTTTTTTGTGGTGCTGGGGGATTTGAACCCAGGGCCTCACACATGCCAGCAAGCACTTTCGCGCTGAGCCACATCCCCAGCCCCTGGCTGGGATTTTGATTGGAAGTGTATTGAATCTCCAGTTCAATTTAGGGGGTGGGTTGTCAGCTTTAGGATAATAAAATTTCCAATTTATAAATGTGGTTGGTATACAACTCCACTAATTTAAAATTCTCTTCAATATCAATACCATTTTGTGATTTTTTTTCTTTTTTTAAAATTTTGGTGATGGAGCTGGGGATTGAACCCAGGGCCCTGTACATGCAAGGCAAACACTCTACCAACTGAGCTACATCCCCAGCCCTCTGGTAATTTTTTTCTATAAAGATTGTGCAGTTTTTTATTAGATTTCTTTAGGAAAATCTCTCTTATTTTTATTAAAATTGTTTTCCATTCACTAGAAATGGTATCTTTTTAAAAACTGGATGTTCTGGGGCTGGGGATAGAGCTCAGTGGTGGAGTGCGTGCTTAGCATGTCTGAGGCCCTTGGTTCAATCCCCAGCATCAAAAAGAAATAATCACGTTTTCTCACTTTGCGGTTTTTATTTTTGTATATTAATCTTACATCCAGAAGCATGCTCAGCTCACCTATTGGTTCCAGTAACCGTTGGTAATTCTCTGGGGCTTCTTTGGGGTCGTGAGAACGGCTACCTTTAGGGGCCACGTGCAGTTCTGCCTGGCCCCACTCTCAGTACTTGACAGTTTCATTTTTACAAGAATCCTGGGTGTAAATGCTGCAATTCCCCCCCTTTTTTTTTCAGATACGAAAAAAAGAAAATTAGAGGCATAGAACAATTTAAAAACTTGCTTAAGGTCACAGGAAACTGGTGTTTGAGAGCCCAGGCTGTGCCCCGAGCCAAGTTCTCTCTCCCTTTCTACCTGTTTCCGCCTTTCTAAAGTATGACTGCAGCAGCAGCAGCTGCCCGCAGAGTTTTTAAGATAAAACGTCAATAATCGTATCATGCTTAGATCTACTAATAAGGCACGTCCGAGCGGTGATGTGGTTAAGGAACCACAGAAGAAGGACAGAGAAGGTGGACGGCCACTCTGGTGCGGGGCTGGCTGGGGCTGACCTTTTCCCGGCTGCAGTTTGAGCCCCCAGGACACACGGTGGGTGGGTGGGGCCCTAAGGTGGCCTGGTGTGTTTCTGTTCCTGCCATCTTGTCTGATGTCAGGGTCCTGGAGCCCAGCGTTCCTTCCTGGGTGTTTTTGTGGGGTCCACAGAGCCCCCACTGAGACCATGCTGTGCATTCTGAGGGCCAGGGATCCACTATCCTGCCAGCACCCCCCCTGGCTTCCTGATGATCCAGGTTTGGGGGTGTCCTCTGCAGCACGTCTCCTCTTGGTACCCGTCAGCCCTCTGAAGGCCTGGGGTCGGGGCTCTGGGATGGTCCTCTCTCCACTGCCCGCACCCGGTCTCCAGAAACATCCGTGCACCCTGCAGTGTGGGGCACGGCTGGCCATGGCTGGTCAAAGCCTTGGTGGCCCCCGAGCCCTTGTCTATAGACAGCCTCCCGAATCGGCCTCACAAGGCCCCACGAATCAGACTTGAGGTGAAAGGGGGAGGTGGTCACCACCTCCACCTGGGCAGGCACGACTTAGAGCCTTGAATACCGCGGAACCCTCTCCGGTTATCCTGGCCGGATGGTTTTCGGGTATCTGGCCATCTGACGGCACCTGTTAGACACCTGCTGTCAAGTCCCACCCGAGGAGCGGGTTTCTGGGTGGCTTTGATCTGTGACTGTGGACAGGACTGAAGGAAGGCTTCAGCCCAAACTTAGCATTCTGTTACATAAGCACGTCCAGTCAGAGACACCAAACTCTAAAGATGGCTTTAAACACGGCTTCCAGCTCCACGGGACACCTGCAAGGGACACAGCCCGGGACGGGTCCCGTCCTTTGAAATGGTTGAGGGGTGCTTATAGGCCGACTGGCGGTCACCTTTGTGGATGACCTGCATGTGCCTGAAATGACCTCCTGAGTCCAGGGTTCTGCGTTTGCTGATAGAATAGAGCAGGCTTGTCACTCACTCTGCCCTGATTTTGTCACGCCTTGTAAATACTCTGTGCTTGATCTCGTAATTACTGAGAGAGCTCTTTGCACTCTCCCTCTGCGATGGCAGATCTGCCTATTTTTCCTGGTAGCTCTGTTGATTTTCCTCTATTTGGAGATTATTTCAGTGCAGCAAGTTTAGAATTATGGCGTCACTTTATTGAATTGCAACTTTTTTTTTTTTAATATCTCGCAGGCTGTTGCCTGATGGTCTATTTTGTCTGCTCCAAATAGAGCTGGACCAGATTAGTTTTGCTTAGTATTTGGTTGCTGGATCTCTCTCCATCCCCCGGTTATCTTCTCATTGTGTGCTTTAAAAAAAGTGCTCCTTAGGTAGCATGTATCTGGAAGATGTTTTCTCCTCTAGTCCGATGAACTGCTGTTTGACCAATGGGCATATCCATTTATATTATTTATTCTACTTGCTGATAGATTTGGATCTATTTCCATGACCTTATTTTGTGTTTTCTTTTGATTTTTTGGATTTCCTTGAATTTTCTTTTCCTCTCAATCCTGCACGTATGTACTTGGGGCTGGGCCTTCACCTAGGGCCTCCACCCTAGGGCCTCGCGCATGCTCAACACCTGCTTGACCCCCGAGCCCTCTCGGTCACTTTGTGTCCTTTGCTGCTCTTCCTGTTCCTGTAGTGGTTACCTTTGAGATTTTTATGGGCATGGCTAGTAACTTCTAAAGTTAATCAAGGTATTTAGGTTTTCACGAACACTACAAGGACCATCGAAGGCTTTAGCTTTACCCTCCCACTCCTTCCTCAGTCTGGAGGTTGGTATGTTCCAGAATTTTCCACGTGAGCAGCATAGCTTAAGCTGTGGGGCTGAAGCACAGGGTCTGGGTTGGGATCCTAGACCTTTCACATACCAACTGTGTGGCTTGAGACGAGTTACTTAACCTTTCTGTGCTTCAGTGACCTCAGCCGTAGAATGAGGATAGTAATCATAATTACTTCTTAGGTGGGTGAGAGGATTCAATAAGCAAGTTCATATGAAGGCCCTAGAACTGTTCTTAGCACTTGGTAAATTTTCAAAAATGTCTATTGGCCCAGAGGTGTGGCTCAGTGGTGGAGCCATAGAACACTTGCCCTGTACGCATGAGGCCCTGGTTCCCTCCCCAGTACTGGGGGAAAAAAGGGTAGAGAATGGGGTATTTTGGGGCTAACATTCTGCCACTGAGCTGTCCCTCCATCCTCTGTTTCTGGTCACTTAAGTCCTTGCTATCTTTGGGGATTTGGTCCTCTGATAGATGTTTCTGCCAACTTGTGACCATGGTACCTACCTCCTTGGGCTTTAATTTTATGTATTGAGATGAATTTTCTAAAATACAGGTATTAAGCAGCACCTGTCGGATGCTCTGATGAATGCCCAATCATTTAACCTTTCCAACTTTGCCAGAGAATGTTACTCCCTGGTGTAGATGAAGACACTGAGGCGCTGAGAGCGCGACCCTTGTCCACAGATAGTAGAGCTGGGGTTTGAACCCCGACCTGCTCTGCGCTGAGCCCCTCCCTGCACCCCTTCATGGCCACAACCCAGCTCAGCAGTGGAAACCGAGGCTCAGCCTCCCGGCTGTGGACACTGAGGTGTTCTTCGCGGTATCCCACAGGGCCCCCCCAGGAGACCAAGAGTCTCATGAAGGCCTCCTACACGCCAGAGGTGATTGAGAAATCGGTGCGGGACATAGGCCACTGGCACGGCAGGAGGACGGATGACCTGGGTAGGTGGGGAGCTGGGGAGGGACGGGAGCTGGGCCTGAGGTCTGGAGAGAAACCACAGCAGGAACAAGAGCCCTGGGTGGACCTGGAGGGGCTAGGGGTCACCCCTGGGGCCTGGGCCCTCCGGAGGCTGCTGGTGACCTGTGCGTGCTTCTCTCTCCTCTCTGTAGGACGGTGGCACCAGAAAAATGCTATGAACATGAACTTGCAGAAAGCGCTGGAAGAGAAATACGGAGAAAAGAGCAAAGCCAAGAACTTGAAGTTCTAGAGAGGCAGGAGGGCGGGTCCTGCTGGTGCTAATAAAGGAAGGCACAGATCTGAGCCGGCTCCTCGCGCGGCGCCCTGGGGTCCCGCAGCGTCCCTGGACCTCCACCCTGCACACGTCCGCCTCTCACAGTCCCTGTGATCCCAGGACTGGGAGGAGAGTTGGGTGGGACTGTCTGAAGCCCAGTGTGCCCGCTGCTCACCCACCCAGGTCCTGGTGGGCACACTGGGCACGTGCTCCCGTCCCGGGACCTGGTTTGCTGTGCTCCAGTTTATTACCCGCCGTGTGCAGCAGGGCAGGCTCCGCAGCCCGCCTCCTTTCTGCTCCGGGTGGCATCTGTCGTGAAGGTGGCCTGGGCTCCCACAGGCCTGCTGTGTGAGCTGCAGTGACTTCTGGGGCTAGGGAGGGGACCCCAGCTGGGGCAGGCTGGCCTGGCTGGCCCTCCCCGGGGCCTCTCTCTGAGGCTGTCTTGGGCTTCTGGTTCTAAGCAGTCTCCCAACAGGACGAGATCCAAGTGCGAGGGCTTATCCAGGTCTGCACGTGGAACTGACCAGTCAGCATGGCCAAAGGGACACACGGTCACGCTCAGACTCTGCAAGGAAACTCCAGGAGGAGTCGTTCTGGGTGGACGGGGTTCACTGGAGACCACTGGAATAGCGTCTAGCGGGTGACCCTCTTGCTGTGGAAAAATCAAAGCGGAGGGAAAACTCAGTCATTGCCAGGAGAAGGGGAGCCATGTTCCCACTCTTCTCCCGACCACCCCCTTTCCCCCATAAGGAAATGACTCTAAGATGAGGTGGGTTCAGGTGCAGGACAGGCAAGTGGTTTGGCTTGATTTATCATGAGGCCCTAAGCGTGCTGCTTCCTTCTTGGGTAGCTAGATTTTTCTTGGTGCTGGGAAAGCCTGATCCTCCTCCTCCTCCTCCTGGGAGCATTCAATTGAGCTATATCCTTGCCCTTTTAAAGCTCTTACTGGGAGGCAGGGTCTTGCTAAGATGCCCAGGCTGGCCTCAAACTTGCATGAACTTCGTCTTATTAAGTAGCTACTGCGTGCCTGGTACACAGGCTCCTGACAACGGAGTCACCCAAGGGGTCACTGCTCAGGCGGTGACTGCTCCACTATCCTGGTGCAAAAAATTGTTCACGCGCCACTGGCCTAATGCACATAACCTTGCTTCATCCTGACACCAGCCCTGAAAGCTGCTGTCACCCCCTCCTGAAGATGGGAGAGGCCGGGAAAGCGGCACAAGGTCATCCCCATAGGCAGCTGGGTCAAGGCAGCCGCCTCCAATGAAGCCATTTCCTACTCCACCAGCTGATCATGCCCTGGTGTCACCAGAGGTGCTCTGAGCCTCACAAATGCTCAGCCCTGTTAGGTGCCATGGGGAGGGCCGTATGGGTGCAATGCAGCCCTGGACCTCAGAAATTTCCAGTCTGATGCAAAAGAAGCTGGTTCTGAGGCTCTTTGGCAACCAACATGGACCGAGCACCTCCTCCTGCCCCGCCCTGCCCAGTGAGCTGGGAATGCAAAGGTGATAAGACAAGGCCCCTGCCCTCAGGCACATCAGTGACTCGGTGCCCAGGAGGTGACACAGGCATCAGGTTCATACAGTGAAAGCGAGGAGGAGAACGAGGTGTCACCTGCACTTGGGCTGGGCAGGGCCGCTGGTCACGCACCAGGCTTCCCAGAGGAGGCAGCTCTTGAGATGAATCTTGGGACATGGGCAGGTACATTCAGGAGGACTGAAAGGGGTGTCCTTCCCAGACAGAGGGTGAACCCAATCCCAGGAGGGTGTATTTGGGGAGCTACAGGTGGCTCAGGAAGACGGGAAGATCGGGCTCCAAGGAGGGATCCAAGGGAGGTGGGAATGGCAGGCAGAGCTGGTGCCCAACGGGCTGGGCCCCGAATTCATACCAAGTCCCCCTCCGAGGAGTGTGCAGCCTGGGTGAATGTCAGGGGTTAATGACTGAAGAAGCCGCATGGGGAAGTTGAAAATATGCTCAATATTCCACATAATCAGATGCAAATTAAAACAATGCATCAGATTGACAAATGTTTAAATGCAAATGTAGTCGAAAATGAGGGAAGCGGAGACTCTCGTGCATCCAATGAATTAGGAGCCAAGAACAACCCGGGAGCCTTCGGCAAAACGGAAATGCTCTCTGCAGCCTGGAGAAGGCCTTCCTCAGGCCCAGGGCGCGCTCTGCACGCATGGAGGCTCCCTGGGGGGGCTGTAACGGGAGGGACCCTGCGTGTCCTTCAATAGGAGAGCAGACAAACGGTAGTCAGGGCGATGGTGAGGGACAAGCCACACACTCAGAGGTCCCCCTGTATATCACAATGGGCGGAAATGACTGTCCGCAGAAGGAGCCGCTGTAGGAAGTGCCCGTCCGCCTGGGAGAGGACGGAGAGCGGCTTGAAGATGCTACTGGAGCCTGACGTCACGTTCCACTTAGCACTTTTCGGAAACAGCCTTGCGGGAGCTGCCAGGACGCCTCCAAATGAGAGAACTCAGATGCCACCGAGAGTGACCTAGTGACACGATGCTGGAGAGCTGGTCTAAGCGAGAAATTCCCATTTGGACATGAGGGAAGCAATGTGGCATGGTTTACAGCTCTGCCTCCATTAAAGATGCCTCCAGAACATCCAGAGGAAGCCTTTTCAATCAAGCTGAAGCTGTGACCCCTGGTGAAGTAAATAAAACATCATTTAAAAAATTTTTTTAACTTAAAGGAGACCTGGAGGCAACACTGGCGCGCCTCCCAACAGCATTCCCAGCCCTCATGAGCCTCGAGGTCCCTGGATGGTGAAATTCACAGTTTCACAGAGGTGCGTGACCAGGTCTTGGGAGCATTAAGTGACATTGTGAAAAATTCGTCACCCTTCAATCCAGGAAGGGCTTCATTTGCTCAGTGACTCAGAACCCACTTCATAATTCGTGTCATATTCCAATTCACCTAAAAAAGCCACTTAGGATGCTCTGGGCTAGGACACAGTTGACCAGCTCATCCCTGTCCCTGACTGTCACCTCCTCTTCTAGAGCCCTGTGACCCAAGGATAACTCAACCTGTCTCCTCTATGGTGCCAAACACTCAGCACATAGTAGGTGTCAGCAAATACCAGCCACTTGAAAGGCACCTGGACCTGGAGAGGCCCTGGCTTGCCTCCAGCCATTGCCCTGGGCAGTCCCCAAACCTCCCTTGGTGGCACCCCAGCCACACGGGGGTGTGAAGAGCTGCACAGGGCTAGAATCTGAGGCCAGCTCGCCCCCTGGTGGCAGTGTCTCCCAATCGCAGGCCCAGCGCTTAGGAACCAACAGCCACAAAGCCCCCACCGGGAGGTCCTTCAGACCACTTAGCCACCTCTTTCCACCGCATTGCCACCTGCTCTCCTGCTTCCCACCCACAGCTCCACTTTGTGGATGATGAAACTGAGGCTCCGCGCAACAAATATATGTTTATTCTCCATGAGAACACTCCACGCTGAGAACACTCCACGCTGCCTGCTTTGCAAGTTCCAGCTCCGTGACGGCACCCGGCAGGCGGATCCTTTTCCTTTGTTGCCCCAGGAGTCGCTGTCCATGCAATAAACAGGAACAAGCAGAGCGGATGCACAGTCAAGAGGCGGCGTGGGAGGGCCAGAGCTGCGAGGTCCAGCTGGGCCCGCCTTGGAGGTTATTGTAAGGATTTCTCAAGAAAATGTGCCCCCAATTCCCAGGAAGCCCCTGGGAAGAGTAGTGGTGTTTCTCGGGGTGCTTAGATGGACTGCTGTTGCTGTCATTTGGGTGTTGAATGTCCCCAAGGGCCAGTATTAAAGGCTTGGTCCCAGTATTAAAGGGGGCACCTTAGGGAGGTGGCAGAACCGTTAGGAAGTGGGGCTTGGTGTGAGCTTCTTGGGTCACTGGGGCTGTGCCCTTGAAGGGGATGGTGGAACTCGGGTCTCTTCTTTTTGTTTCTTGGCCACGAGGTGAGCAGTTAGCTCCCTCTCTGTGCTCCCCCTGTGGCTGTCCGGGCATCCCCACCAGAGGCCCAATGCAGCAAGTCCACTTGGTTGGGGACTGGAACTCTGACACTGTGAGCCCAAACTAGCTTTTTCTCTTTATAAGTTAATGATGTCATGTGTTTCATTACAGTACTGCCAAGCTGACTAACACAGATGTGTAGATCAGGCTGCCTGCGATAGGGGCCCACGGAGAAGGCTGCCTGCCAAAGGGCCATTACTCTCTGGCCAATGCTACGGGCATTCCACCTGGGGACAGAGAAATTCAACCAACCCTCAGTATCCATGGTTATGAGTCCACAGAGTCAACCAAGCACAGATCAAAACACTAGGAAAAAGAATCATATATGCACTCACACCCTCAGATGGTCTCCTCATCATGGTTCCTTTAATACAGAGGGACCCTGTTTCCATGGCTGTTACAGTGTATTAGTCATGAAGTCCTCTACAGGGGAGTTAGAGCACTCAGGATGGGGGTGTGCGTAGGTCAGAGGTAAATGCTACCCCGTTTTGTGCAAGGACTTGAGCTTCTGTGGATTTTGGTGTGTGCAGTGGGGAAGGGTCCTGGAACCTGTCCCCCACAGATAACAAAGGACAACTCCTTCACTGAGAAAGGAGTTGAGCCCATCTCGGGACGAGGGGGCACATGGCTTTTGTGGCTGGCACGACACCACTCCGCCTGAGTGAGGGCACCCAGCCTCCTGAGAGCCTGAGGTGCCCGTTTTACAACCAACGAGAGGGGTTGGGGGACTGTTCAGGGAGCCCCTCCTGTCCAGGTGTCTTTCCGGTGAGCCTACTATGTGCTGAGTGTGTGGCACCATGGAGGAGACAGGGTTGAGTGACAGTGGGGACATTGATGAGCTCAGTGCAAAGAAGAAAGCGTCAGGAGGAAGGGTACAGCTTGGAGCCTCCCGGGGGTGGGGGGGTGGGAGCTGGAAGCACAGCCCAGGCCACAGGCCACCTGAGGTCAAGGTTGCAGGAGCCCTACGTCAGCACAGGGTCCTGTGCAGGGTAGAAGGTTTCAGATCTCTGGGGAGGGGAGAGAAGGGAG